CTGGGGTGGAGAGGGTGGATGTGATGGCCCTGGAGAGCATGGCCAGTACTCCCATTCCAACCTTGGGCATGAGGACATGTCTTTGGGGTGGCTGTGGCTGGGGTCAGAGTTTGAGGGGCCCAGCGCAGAGGTGGAATGGGCACCATGGGAACTTCTGAGGGAGTTGGATGGTTTTAGAGAGCTCTGCCAGGTCAAGGCAAGGACCCTGCCTGAGCCTAGCCAGGGAGGGTAGAGGTCTGGAAGAAGACACCAGGTGGGTAGGGCATCTGCAGGACACGTGTGGCCTCAGCCAGGCTGGAGACCAAGAGGACAACATGGGCTGGATAAATGTGGGCCCAGGGCTGGATAAATGTGGGCCCAGGTGCTCAGGACCGCCCATGACTCTGAAGTCAGTCCTGACTCCAAAGTTGAGTCCAGATGCCACGCTGGGAAGCATGGAGACGGACAAGGGCTGGCGTCAGTATGTGTGGCTGAGTGACACTGCTCAGCATAGGCCTTGGCTTCTGCAGGCCAGGCCTCTGCCCACTGGGTACCCACAAAAGATGCCAAAGTCCCACTTTCAGGAACACATGCTGGTGCCTAAAAGAGCAGCTTAGGGCTCAGTAAAGGAAGCTGTAGGAGACATCACTTCCTCTCCTGCCAGTGTTCCTTGTACCGGCGTTCTGATTTCTCATGGGTGGCAGGAGAGAGTGGGCAGGGGCAGGAGTGTCTGCCGCAAGCAGCACTCCAGGCGGACAGGGCTCTAGGTGGCCTCACCTAAAGTGAAAACAACTGCTGGCCTTGCTCTATAAATAGGTTCTCGGGAGAGTGTTTCCACATGGGTAGCTCCTGGCAGGAGGAGGGGCTGGCACGGGATGCGCTTCCTAATGACTTTCCTACGGGCTCTCTGGGCTGGCTCCAGCCTCGTCTTGAGCATGGCTGTGGGGGCCCCATGGGTCACGGAGGCAGGGTGAATCTTCTAGGGAGGTACTCCCCACAGTGACTGAGCGAGGGAACCCAGGGTGCCAGGGCGGGCTGAGCCTACCAGGCAATGGGAAGAGACCCTGTTCCAGGATGGCAATGCTCAGAGGAAGTGGAGCCATGCCCCAGGGCGCCAGGACCGCCCCGCCTGCCACCGCTGCCTGAGCACATGTGGTTTCCTCAGCAGCCTGCGGGGGCGGAGCAGGGGTGGTAAGGAGAGAACCCCCAAGGGTTCTCTAGGGAGATTCTGCTCCCCCTTAAATGACCGCACACCAATTAAAGTTGGAGCCATCAGGGGCCCATCTCAAGCAAATCATTTCGGAAATGAGGTTAATGACAGGGCACTGGGGTGACAGGACCAGTGTGACTCACCATGCCCTCGCTTACTCAGCAGGCTGGACTTCCGGGATTCGGGGCAATCACAAACACCCACCCCCAAGCCTATGCTCTCCCCAGAGGTGGCCTTAGTGACAGGAGGAGATAGCCTTAGAGTGCTTGCCTCCTTGGGTGGGGAGGGGCCCAATCCCTTCTCACCACCGGGGACACCCATGGCAGGGGCCATGGAATCAGGAGATGAGAACTCTAGCCACCTAACATTACAGAGCCAGAGGGACCCTGGGACCACGAGCCCCCCCATCCCCACTGGCACATGGAGCCAAGTTCCAGGGAAGGGGCCTGATCCGCCAGGCCAGTAGTGGGATAACATCAATGGTCACACACTAACCACACTTACTTGCACCAGCCACTGTAGTGAGTGCCCAGTGACACAAGCACTATTGTACAGAGGCCCAAAAAGGTCACCGAACTAGTTGGCGAGAGCCAGGGTTTGGACCTGGGCCATGGGTTGGGGGCCTCCTGACCTCACCACTCTGCCCTTGCCCCACAGAGCACCCCCCCACCCACCACTGAGAAATCACGATGCTGCAGCAAACCACAGGACAGAAGTCCAAGGACTGTGCTGGGTGGCAGGATGGCCAAGTTCCCACAGCAGGCTGGCATGTGCTACCTGAGTCTCTGAAGTGGATGGCTAGGTGACCACAGGCCTGTGGCAACCCCTTGACACAGACTGTCAGGTGCTCCCAGGGTGTGGTGAATTGGGTGAGAGGTGGAAAGGCTTTGCCACAGGCTGGGGCTGGACTTGGTGGCTTTCACCTGGGAGCTGCCTGCCTTGGTCATCCCGGCCACCTCTCAGCTTCTCCAGCAGGAAGTGCAGGTTCATCCCTGGAACCCACAGAAACTGGACAATGGTAGGCAGCAGGCTGCAGTTTAAATCATAGACATCTATTCTTTTATTTCACGTTGGGAAAATTAGGGCATGAAGGGGTTGGGGAGGCGAACGATGGGGAATTGCTGCTGATATGCACTTACTGACAAAAATGCTAACCTAACTTCATCTTCCTAACAAAAAAGAGATTCCTGCAATTTGGTTTCTGAGAGCTGTTACCAAATCCAAAATTAGGAGAGATGACGGCTGAGCCGAGCCATTTGCATTTCCAGAAGGGCTGCTTTTGTGCTTGGCAGCAAGAGTGGGGGATCAGTAGCAGCCCCAGCTACAGGGAGCCATCGGGTAGGGCTGGCAGAGTGTCGCTTAGGGAGATTCTGCAAGAAAAGCTCCGTCATGTGGCCCCTACACCTCCCCAAGCCACCTCAAGCCCACCCAGGCCCCACATTCCTTGCTGCCTATGAGGGCCCTACACTCCCAGGCAGTGTGGTGTGCAGCTCAGGAGGCCTGCAGCGTCTGCACAGGGAGGGGGTGGGAGTACAGAACTGAGGCTAGAGGGACAGTGCCCACAGCGGTCACAGCTGCCTAGGACCCCCGTTTCCCTCCCCTCAGATTCTCACTCAGAGCAGTGAGGCCCTGAGTCAAGCCTCCCATGAGCAAGAAAAGGAACTCAAGAAGAACTCAGGCCCCAGGTGGTAGCCTTAGCGCCCACCCCACCCCCAGCTCTGCCCTCAGCATGGTGATACACATTGACCCCCTGGCTTGGTGGAGACAATCTCTGTGCTGTTCTTTTGTTTTTTTCTTTTTGAGATGGAGATTTGCTCTGTCCCCCAGGCTGGAGTGCAGTGGCATGATCTTGGCTCACTGCAAACTCTGCCTCCCGGGTTCAAGCAATTCTCCTGCCTCAGCCTTCTGAGTAGCTGGGATTACAGGTGTGAGCCACCACGCCCGGCTAATTTTTGTATTTTTAGTAGAGACGGGGTTTCTCCATGTTGGCCAGGCTGGTCTTGAGCTCCTGGCCTCAAGTGATCCGCCCGCCTCGGCCTCCCAAAGTGCTGGGATTACAGGTGTGAGCCACCGCGCCCGGCCTGTCCTGTTTTAAAGAGCAGCATTCCGAGAAGAACATCCTGCCCCCAAATTCCAGGTCTGGCTGGTGACTCCATCAAGGGAGGGGTGTGGGCATGGACACCCAGACCACTCTAGCAGAGCCCTCCGACAGTCCGTGGGGCTTGAGCGTGGGCCTATTCAAACTTGGCCCTGGCTCTGGCCTATTTCTATCTGGACAGCCCACGTCAGGCTGTCCCAGGACACGCTGATATCATACTACAAGAAGTGTGTGGGGGCGAGTCCTTCTTCGTGACCCCTTATATCTAGTAACCAGTGGAGCTTCCACTGGCAGTCAACGATCAGGGACAAATACCACACCACTACCCCTAAGACCACCTCCCTCAACTCCACATGTCCTCCAGCAGAGAAAGGTGGATTTCACAGGGAGATTCCAAACTCGATCCTGGTGTAAACTGAAGACAGGGGTGACGGCAACTCAGTCTGGCCTGAGAGCAAGAGCTGCCACAGGACGCCTTGGAGACCCTGTGCATGTCCTGCTGCCCCCAGCAAGGGGCCATCATCTGTCTCTGGAGATGACCTTGCCCTGGGCTGGTTGCTGAAATCATCAGTCTCCACCCATGGTAGGTCCAAGCCCAGGTCCAGAAGCCACAATAGGCAGCCCAGTGCTGGTCCGGTGGCAGGAGGGCTGGCATGGGAGGGAACCGACATGGCTGGCTCCACAAGTTGCACCTCCTCTGAGCAGGCTGACCTGCAGTTGACCAGACTCTCCTTCAAAGCCTCCTGAGGTAGCCAAGAGACTTACCTGTCGGCATGAACCAGCAGGCCTGCCAGGCTCTTCCACACACCGGCAGGGCCGCGTGGGAAAAGTGCGGCAGGTCCTAGCAGTTGCCAGAGCACCCTGAGCCCGCAGCTTCTTCCTATCGACAGTGCAGGGGGAGTATGGCGTTGACAGCATGCCCTGTCGATCCAGTGGGACTGGTGGGGATGGGGAGTGATGGGCTTCTCTTGAGCACTTGCTCTGCACTGAGCACAGTGCATCGCATACCTCGTCTCCAGAGGACGGTATCACAACCACTTCACATAATAAGAACCCAAGATTCAGAGAGGTTAGGTCACAATGTTGAGGTCACACAGCTGGCAACAGGAAGCTCCCTCCTCCCCCAGTGTAGGCCAGAGAAAGCGTCCCTGTCCTTGTCGTTCATCAGGACTCAACACAGCTGCCCTCTTGTCAGTCCAGGCTCTGAGGCATGAAGGCTCTGCTTCCACCTGAAGGCTGCAGAGGCTGGGAACTCACTGACCACGTGGTACTGACAGTTCCTGGGAAGATCTAACACCACCTCCCATTCCCCAGGGCAGAGCAGGTGTGTTTGAGGATAAAGACCTCCTTGGCTGGCTGAGCCCAAGAAGCCGAAGACGGAAGGCATGGGCGACACACAGACACAGGGAAAACACTTGCCCTGGCTTCCCCAGCAAAGGGGCAGAGGTAGGAGCCTATGGAAGCCCTCCGGAGCAAATGGAAACTCAGGTGCCTGAAGCCTGCAAGTCCCAACAGAAGCAGTCAGTGGGGGCCAGCCAGGGGGAGGTGGGTGCATGCAAGGGCTCTGACTGCCCTTGTTCCCCGACACCCTGAACAGCTGAAAACAGGGGTGTCCTGGCCTCAGAGGCAATCCTGGCGGAGGCCCTCCCAAGTCACCATTCTCATTCTGTTTGGGCCCTGGGGATGGGAAGATTGATTAAGTATCATCCAGCATAAGCCACTCCTGCAACAAGTGCAATGAAGTCACGTTTAATTTTGAGATTCCTGTGCTGTCACTCACGCAAGGAGGAGGAAGCCACCTGGCTCCAGTGAACACGGGTGGAACAGAAATCAGGGCCACTGAAAGCCACCACCCACTCGAGAGGGCTTGTTCCCGACAAACCTGACTCAGATGGGCCCACTTTGGGCCTTTAGTCAGATTTAGAGAAACCCCCCGGCTCATCCAATCAGTGTGCAGTCAATTTCTACGCCATGGCAGGGGTGGCAAAAGCCAATCACGTGTCCAAATGATGAGTGAAAATCAAGGCATGGTGGGGCCACCTCCTCCAGAGGGGGAGCCACAGTCTCAGGACCCCGAGGGAGCAGGCATTTTCAAGTGGCTCCTTTACATTAAGGAAAATGTGGTCCTCTCAGTCGGGTCTGAAGCATCATTTGTGTGTGAGCCCGGCCCACTGGGGACCTCTGGCTGCCAGGTGGAGAGCCTCCTGGTGCAGATAGCAAGATGGAGGGCAGAACTGCAAAAATCCAGGGCTCCGGTATGGATATGATTCCCACAGAGTTCAGTTCCCTTTATTTATCCAAGTCCCACGGTACAAATCCCTGGCCTGCCACCCGCAAATCAACCGAGCTCCTGATTCTTGCTCCCCCGATCACGGTGTTGCTCTCTGCATGATTAGCTGCTGGTTCTCCAGACACTGCTTCAGCTTGTCTTCTGTCAGTGTCAACCGCTGCTCCAGGATGGAGACTGTCTGCAAAATAAACAGTGGTTGGGTCAGAACACGGAAGGGCCACCAGGTTGCTCTAGGGACCCTCCTTGGCCAGTCCCCACTTGGCTGCCTCAGCCACTGCCCAAATGCCAGCTGGCTCTTTCCACCCAGGGGTTCTGCCAGGCCCCTTGTCTCTGGTGCTATTGGGACAGCCCTTGCCTTTATGTCTGCTTCTCCTGGCTCTGGATGGCTGATCTCTGATGTTTGTGGGCAGGGGGTGGGGACACAGTGAGGGAAACTAGATGGCAGGTCCCACAGCCTTTGGTCATTTCTTGAGAACCAAGGGGTCAGGAACCCCCCACCCTGGTGGCCTGGCATTTAGATTGGGCTTCTGGAGCAAAACCAGCTTCCTTGTCTGAGCCAGACACTGTCCATAAACAACTGGAGACCATCAACCACCTCCACTCCAGAGGTGAGAAAACTGCACCCACAAATGATGGCACTCCCTTGGGTCCTTCTCCTCACACCTGGAAGAGCCTCCCAGGCTGGCAGGGAACAAAGGCAGGGAGGTGAGTGAGTCCCCTAATCCCAGGAGGGTCTCTGCCTGTCCAAGTCCAATGAGGACTACTATAGGTTACGTCATCTGGGACTTCAGCCCAGGGCAATCACAGGCCATGACAACTTCATCTCTCTGAGCCCACTTTCTCCTCCCAGTGTGAAGGACAACCAAGCTCATGGCCTAGGTAACTCAGCAGCCCAGCAGTTGCTCACCCTGATGGTGCTTGTCGTCATGCTGCCTTCCTGAAGCTGGGACCTTGCTCTCCTGGCCTCTCTTACACACCCAGCACAATGGCTTACCTGCGGACCTGCCTGCCTAGCCTGCCAAAGGCCCCCAGCTGCTGGAGCTGTGTGTGCCTCATGGGCCAGGGCCAGTCTTGCAGACATAGCTCCCAGACAGGCTGGGAAAAGCTGCCCTCCTCCTCTGGCTTTGGACAGAGTGTCAGCAGAGGGGCAGCACTGTCTGGTAGCCTGCATGCTCCCCAAAGAGGGGCTGGACCAGAGCAAGCCTGCCCCACTCATCACTTGCACAGTTGGACCATGCTGGCCATGACGCCTCTGGCGTCATTTCACTTCCCTCTTTAGGGTTGGCTGAGTGCCTTAACGTATGCCAGGCCCCCACCGGCCACTGGATGAGCCCATGTGAGTATGGCAGCCTTGACTCTGATACCGTGCAGCCCATAGTCATCAGGAGGGTCAGATTAACCTCACCTGTGTGCTTTCCCAAGAGGTTTTGCCCCCTTCCCTGGGGCTCCATGAAGTCCTGGGCCTTGGTCCAGTGGAAATAAAACTTTCTTTCATACATTTAATATAACATTGAAACATTTTAGGAGGGAGTTTCCCTTCTAAGGCTGCTATAAATTCTTGCAGCATCCCACACGGATGTCAGCTGCCGTGGAGGGTGCTCCGCCTGGTGGCTGGCCCCTTCTAAACGAGCCAATCTGGGCTGTGAGGGCTCTGAACCCTCTGTCACTGGACAGAGCCTGGAAAAATGCTGCCCATGGAACACAAACTGCACCCTGAGAGGCAGAGCTGAGCTGAAAGAGACCATCACATTCCCCCTGTGCTGGCCAGCCAGCCAGGGAGGGGGTCTGCAGCTCATAAAAGTGGCGGCGGAAACAGCCCCCGGCTGGCCTGGGGCAGCATTCCTGGAAGTTTCCACTGGCTGCTGTGAAACTCACAGGGCCAAAATCATTCTTCATCCAGACTTTTTCCGATGGCCCCAAACTCAAGGCCACAGCAGAGGAGCCTGTTTTTCCTCTTCTGCCTTTATTATTTTTATTTTTTTTCAAACTTTTCACAGGAACTCAATTTGCAAACGTGGAGATAGTGGGCCCAGAAAATGTGTGCGAGGTGTTGGGCCAACGTCAATACGGGGGCCTCCACTTAGTTCCATAGGGGGCCCATACTTCAGCTCAGTAGGAATGTGACCACTAAATGTGTCTAAATTATTTGAAAAGAGAAGCATCACCTGTTTCACAACCAGCCCCCTGCATGAAGGTGCCACCCTGTTGAGGCCTTCCTCTCAGAGCTTTGAGGATCACTTCACAGCATAGTAGACAAACAGGCTTTTTACGAGGCCCAACACCCCCCAAGGCAGTTTCTCCCCCTCCAGCCTAGCTTCAGAGGAGCTGTGTCATCTCTGCGTTTGGTCTCTCCCTGTTCCTTCTCTGCCAAGGTGCCGGGTGGTGGCCACCATCAGGGAGAAAGAAGTCCACCAGGCCCTTCCCAGCACATGTGATCCCAGTTGCCCCCACTCTGAGCCAGGAGAAGGCCTGGGAGAGCAGGAAGCTTTTTGGATTTCTGTACATTAGAATGCTGTCTGGCATTCTCTGCTCCATATAGTTAAAAAAAAAAATCCTACTTTCTTAAAATTTTTTATCTTTTTCTTAAAAATCAAATTAATAAAGCACAGGGCCTCATTTTCACAGAAAATGGTGACTCCTTATAGAAAGTGAAACATGGAAATCTCTTTTTTTTTTGAGACGGAGTCTGGTTCTGTTGCCCAGGTTGGAGTATAGCGGTGCAATCTCGGCTCACTGCAAGCTCCACCTCCCGGGTTCACGCCATTCTCCTGCCTCAGCCTCCCGAGTAGCTGGGACTACAGGCGCCTGCCACCGTGCCCGGCTAATATTTTTGTATTTTTAGTAGAGACAGGTCTCGATCTCCTGACTTCGTGATCTGCCCGCCTCGGCCTCCCAAAGTGTTGGGATTATAGGCATGAGCCACTGCGCCTGGCTGAAACATGGAAATCTCAAATGCTGCTGGTGTGCCTTCCCTCTACAAGGGGAAGGAAGGGGTTCCCCCATGATGGAAATGCCCCACTGGGCATCCAAGTGGCAAAGTGAAGACATACTCAGGGCTGGTGGCACATACAGGTGGGAGGGCTGGCAGGCCACCTGCAGGGAGTCTGTCCGGGCCACAGGCCCAGAGCAGCCAGAACAGGCCACCACAGTGCCACTGTGCTTCCCCAGCTGCACAGGAGCTGTGGGAGGAGGGCAGGAGAGCATCTGAGATGGCAGAGGGGGTGCGTGGGGGGCATCCCTGGCACAGACCGGTTTGGAGCCATATCATGTGGCCTTGTTCAGAATGTAACTTTACCTGTTGGTTCAGAACAAAAAGTAAGCATATCCCCATGCGAGGGTTCAGAAAATATGTGCTACCTTGGTGTACACAAGCCACTGCTGTTCCTGCCTGCTGCCTAGTGGCACAACTCCCTGTGGGGCCCAGCCAAGCAGGCTGCTCTCCTTGCCTCATGCTCCGTCCACCCCGGGAATTCTCCTGCTACACAGCGCCTGTCCTCCCCAGGCTGGAGACAAGGCCACACCTGCCCTGGAGGGTGAGGGGAGTGCTCTGCAGGCAAACACCTCTGCAGCCTCCCCGGGTCCACACTCCATAGCCTGGCAGCCTCGACTTTCATTTATTCAAGGGCAAATGAGCGCTGACCTTCCAAACAGCTCCTTGATCACACTGCCTCTCACCCTGTGCTCTGTACAGGGGAGCAGGGGCCAGAGGTCTGGTCCTAGCCCCTCAGAAAGTCCCCAAAGAGGTACAGGCTGGGTCGGGTGCCAGGTGTCAACAAGGGAAACTGCTTTACCTGACACAAGTGTCCATGGCTTCTGACGTTGAGGCAGGGTAAAGGGAAACTGACACAGGGGTTGAGGAGTCCAGGGCTCTGGCTGCTAGAGGGGCAGCCTGGGCAAAGTGGCCAGGAAAGATGGCCCATCTCCCAGAACTCCCTCATGCTGGGGTCCAACCTCCCACAGTGCGGCCCCTTCCATCTGCTGACCTTAGAGAAACCAGGCAGCTCATTCCCTCTCCCAGGACCTGGTGCCGCCCTGGGAACATTCTTAGGTCCTCCGTGCAGTATGAGGGGGACCAGCAGGAAGTCCTGGGACTGGGCTCTGGGCGATTCACCCTGATGATTGACCCTCTGCTCCGTGGGCTTCTCTTGGCAGCTGACTTTCATGGGGCGCTCGTGTGTACCAAAAACTTCAAGAAACCGTCAGTGTAGGAGCTTTTATCATCCCCATTTTACAGATGAAGAAACTGAGGCACAGTGAGATTAAGTAACTTGCCTAAAGTTACACAGCTTATCAGTGACAAGCCTAGGCTGTGAGCCCGGGTGGCCTGGCTGCAGTGTGTACGCTAAAGCACTGGGCAGTGTGCATCTTGGCTCTGTCCCCATCAAGAATGCCAAAGGAGAGGCCTGCTGGTGTCCCATCCCACTTCCAGCCCTGATGCCCAAACGCAGGCAGCCTGAGGAAAGACTCGGGGATCCCTGTCCTCACCCAGCAGCAGCACCTGCTGTCCTGGTTTAGGCTGCCTGGCCTAGCTGCTCCGAATTAAATGAGCAGAAGCTCCTACCTCAGCCAGTGGGAATGGACAGCCCCCAGGGTCACCCACCCCCTCACATTGTCAGCCTCACGTGTCACCTCCCCCTGAAAAGCAGTCTCTTACCTGGCTAAACATTTAGGTTTGGAATTATGACAAAGGTCATAAGAATAATTCATGTGAATCATGAAAACTCAATGTAATAGGAACTGAAAGGACACAGAGACAAGAACCTCCTCCTGGATATGCAACGAGAAGCTGCCCCAGTCGCTTCACTGTCAGTGCTTCTTTTACCGGCACTTGTGCCACGGCAGCATTAAGTGATCAGTCCCAAAACACGCTGTGGAACTCACCTGGGTCACTGCTGGGTGCCCCATCCCCTGAAGACAAAGTTCACCTTTAAACAAGGTACCTCTCTCTCCCTAAGTCGGAGTGACAGGAAGCTGGAGTGAGGACCCTATGGCCTGGGCACTGTCACTCGTCACCCGATACTGTCTGCCTCCCAGGTCAAGGCCCTCATGGCCAGTGTCAGGAAGCCTCATGGGGTGTGGTCAGCAGGGCTCCAGAAGTTTTATATTCAAAGTCACATCTGCCTGAGGTTCACCTGGGGGCTCATTTCTGAACCCTTTTCCTACTCTGTTACCAGCAAT